CATGATTTTTCAGGATGCCTTAATGACCAATTTTTTTGGTCTTTGAGGTACAGCTTGCACCACGCTGATGAGGGCCAACAGCCCGAAACGCGTCCGTGGTTAGCTTTTCTTGATTAATCAAGAATGGGTATTTGGCCAATTATGGAATAAAAAAATCAACGAGAATAGTTGATATTTATTCCGATAGATGGCGCTCAGCCATCAGCAACTTTCAGTTGCACGATAAGGAGATGCCTTTTTCTTTTTTCATATATATATATATAGATGGAAAATTTACCGGGAGGAAATTAATCCATAGAATCATAGGGCGCCTCTCCCGTCAAAATAAACGTCAAAATCTGACGCTTGACCGTCGCCGCAACTAGTGGCCTCGGGTCGGTGACAAAGCCACACAACATCAGCTTTGGCAAACTGAGAAGCGTCCACCTAGAGACCATGGTTTCGGGCTAATGGCCCTCGTCATTTGCGGCGACGGTCAATAGATGGCGTCAGGTTTTGACGGGAGAGACGCCCTATGCTTCTATACATATATATAAATATATATATATATATTTATCCCTAGTACACGTGTGTGTGGTACAGGCCATGATAATCATGGTGGGTAGTTAAGGACTGTTTTTATTGTGAGTGCACCACATATCTACACATGTGAAAAGCAGTTTGACATTTGCACTTACAAATGTGTCAGAGCTCCATTTGGTTACTTGCACTCGCTCGTAGGGTTGATTTTTTGCAAGAATCGGGGGCCATTGGAGCATTAGAAAAAAGTGCCCAATGCGGGATTCGAACCCGGGTCGTAGCGATCGAAAACCAACGGTTTAGACCATCCTTCCACCAAACCCCTATATAATACTGCATATCAATCTCTGCCATTGTTGTTTTTTAGGTTGTTATGGAACACACATACCCAAGAATACTAGAGACTGTAGGAGGAAACATGAAGAAAAGAAGAAGAGGTGTTGGAAACTGTCATCCTAGAGTCTAGAGGAAGAAACAGGAAGAAGCAGATGTATTGGAAACTGTCATCCTAGAGTTGGAGGAAGAAACAGGAAGAAGCAAATGTATTGGAAACTGTTTCTCTAGAGTCTGGAGGAAGAAACAGGAAGAAGCAGATGTATTGGAAACTGTTTCTCTAGAGTCTGGAGGAAGAAACAGGAAGAAGCAGATGTATTGGAAACTGTTTGTCTAGAGTCTGGAGGAAGAAACAGGAAGAAGCAGATGTATTGGAAACTGTTTCTCTAGAGTCAGGAAGAAGAAACAGGAAGAAGCAGATGTATTGGAAACACTTTCTCTAGAGTATGGAGGAAGAAACAGGAAGAAGCAGATGTATTAGAAACTGTTTCTCTAGAGTCTGAAGGAAGAAACAGGAAGAAGCAGATGTATTGGAAACTGTTTCTCTGGAGTTTGGAGGAAAAAGCAGATGTATTGGAAACTGTTTCTCTAGAGTCTGGATAAGGAAACAGGAAGAAGCAGATGTATTGGAAACTGTTTCTCTAGAGTCTGGAGGAAGAAACAGGAAGAAGCAGATGTATTAGAAACTGTTTCTCTAGAGTCTGAAGGAAGAAACAGGAAGAAGCAGATGTATTGGAAACTGTTTCTCTAGAGTCTGGAGGAATAAACAGGAAGAAGCAGATGTATTAGAAACTGTTTCTCTAGAGAGTCTGAAGGAAGAAACAGGAAGAAGCAGATGTATTGGAAACTGTTTCTCTAGAGTCTGGAGGAAGAAGCAGATGTATTGGAAACTGTTTCTCTAGAGTCTGGAGGAAGAAGCAGGAAGAAGAAGATGTATTGGAAACTGTTTCTCTAGAGTCTGGAGGAAGAAAAAGGAAGAAGATGTATTGGGAACTGTTGTTCTAGAGTCCGGAGGAAGAAAATGGAAGAAACAAAGAGGAGAAGTGCTGGAAACTGTCATCCAAGAGTTTGTAGGAGGAAACAGGAAGGAAGGAAAGGTGTTGGGAAGAGACGACCTCGAGAAGACGGTCAAGAGCCATCGACAAAGTAATTAACAAGAAGATTCTCAAGCCGGTTTCAAAACTGGGAACTTGAGGGGAATCTTGATGATGTCTTGGGCACCCCGTCTCTCTCGATCGGGACTTGTTCAGGATACCAGTCCATCATCAGGTATTGCGTTCTTCTTCAACTTATTTCCCCATCTTTAATGAGGTTCATATCTTCAGGTTTATTTTACAAAAATCCCATTTTAGACATTCATTTAGGAAAGCGATACTTTGTGGAGCAATTTGTCTTAAGATTTGTCCGAACATAACAAATTGTATGTCCAACGAGATAGAGGTTTGATTCCTTCGAAATCACAATGCTTTTTTCCCTAGTTAGGAAATAAGGAATTCGATATTTTCCGAAGTGTGTCGCTGAGTTTAAGAATGATTAATTTGGTGATTGGTGCTGGAGCTGTATTAACTGTCAACTTTCGACAGCCACGATCGGGATCGAAACCCACCTTGGCATTTTTTTTTCTCCAAAAGAAAAAAATTGCTTAATGGTCTTCGATTCTTGCAAAAGTCCTACACGACTAGTTTGAGTGAAAATAATCAAACGGGGCTTTAACACTTGCAAATTCAAAATTTCTGCCCTATACATGTGTAGATATGTGGTGAACTTGTAGTAAAAGTATTCGCTAACTACTTACCATGATTATCATGGACTTTAAAAAATGTACAAGGGATGATAATAAAAAAAAACTTATTAAGAGCTAACTTTTAAAAAAGTTTTGCGTTCTTCTAGATAGAGATTCACCTCTACAGACTTCTCCAAAGTCCTTCCTATCTTCAACTCTTTCAGGTTGTTCTGAATATAATAAAGAACATAATAAATTCCATGAGTGTCGATTATTTTATTTTAAACGAATACAAAGCAAGCTGAGCTTTCGAAAGAGTTTCCTTAATCTAAAGCTAATACAGATAGTGTCACGCCGCCACATCTTTCTTAACTTCAGATTAAAGAGACCCTTTCGAAAGCTCAGAAAAATGTTTTGTATTCGTTTATAATAAGTGAATTGGCGTTCAAGCGTAACTTTTAAAGTATTTTTATATATTAATAAGTTCGTCATTTAAACGTTACAGTAAGAATAAGAAGAATTTTAATAATGGATTGGATGGGAATTTACAAAGAAATAAAGAGAGGAAGAATTATGGTTGTACTGGAGACCATGACCTGTTCAAGAGAAACTGAAGAAGAATTGGACTGATGACTGGATAGGAAGTTGTGAAGACATTTTATTTGATTACCCCTAGTACACGTGGTACAGGCTATGATAATCATGGTTGGGTAGTTAGCGACTGCTTTTACTGTAAGTGCACCACATGTCAAAAGCAGTTCGACTTTGCACTTACAAATGGGCCAGAGCCCCGTTTGGTTACTTACACTCGCTGGTGGGGTTGGACTTTTGCAAGAATTGGAGCATTTTTTATAATCAGAAAAAAGTGCAAATGCTGGAATCGAACCCGGGTCATAGTGGTCGAAAACAAACGGTTTAGACCATCCTTCCACAGACCCCCTTATATAAAGAGAAGAGCTTAAGAGAGAGAGAGAGAGAAATATGGCGTGTCACTGAAGACAAAGACCTGCTCAAGAGAAACTGAAGAAGAATTAGACTGATGAACTGGATAATAAGTTATGAAGAAATAAAGAGAATAACTCAAGAGAGGAAAAGATATGGCGTCACTGGAGACCAGCACCCGCTCAAGAGCAGAGAATTATATAGCAACAAATATCTTTTAGGAAAGTGATCATTTATATAATGTTGATTGTAGATATATCATTTCTTTATAAAAGGGGGTCGGTGGAAGGATGGTCTGAACCGTTGGTTTTCGACCGCTACGACCCGGGTTCGATTCCCGCATTTGCACTTTTTTTCTGATTATAAAAAAATGCTCCAATGACCCCGGATTCTTGTAAAAGTCCAACCCCACCAGCGAGTGTAGGTAACCAAACGGGGCTCTGGCATATTTGTAAAATATAGAGAAACAATATTAACTTTCGTATATTAAATTTAATACCTTTTTCAGATATATATATTTACTTATATAGCAACAAATATCTTTTAAGGAAAGTGATAATTTATATTATGCTGATTGTACATATTGCCAGACATTTCTTTCTTTAGTACACAGTTCTCTGTTCTCGTTAAGATGTAAGAGCTTTATTTGTCCTTAGAATGTTTAAACTCTTAATTCTTTCTCTTCTCTTTTAATAATAATGATAATTGAATAAATTTAATATAAATATTTGATGGAAATGGTTTTTTTTCCTCTCTTTCTCATTGTTAATATCATATGCTTATTCATTACGGCCTAAACTTATTGTAATTATTGTTGCGTCATGGCTAATTCACCTATTTTATTTTAATTTGTAATATTATTTTTGATATATTTTAAATTAAAATTTATATTTTATATTTATTTATTTTAATAAACAGATTATATATATTACTAGCCGAATGACCCGGGCAACGCCCGGGTTTTACCCGATTAAATGTTTTTATTACTATTCGTTACAATTATAAATTGGCGGCGTGGATGTCACTCTTGTGAAACGTCCCGCTCCAAACTTTGTGTCTGAGAAGCGATATTTTTATAGAAAGATGATCTGGCTTTTGTTTTCTGCTCGAATGAATGTTTTTCTGTTAGAATTTTGTTCCTGCGTACAAAATAATGAGCTGGTTTCACCCGTGGTCTCTGCTTTTTGGAATTTTTCCCGATATAATTTTGTATCTGATAATCTTACATGATACAGCAATATCGTCATCATCATTTTATGACTAATAATATATAGTTTTAATAATTGATTTATATATTTTTTAAAATAGCCTATCGTCTTCCCCGTATTTTTTTACCTATGTATGGAAATTTTGGTTTGAATTAGTGAACTACTGCGAATTTGTATACCGGACATACAAACAAACAAACAAACATACAAACATTCATTTATATATATATAGAAGATATAATATAAATGAGTTTTAAAAATTGTTTTAAAAAAAATACATCGGCCGGGAATCGAACCCTGGCCGCCCGCGTGGCAGGCGAGCATTCTACCACTGAACCACCGATGCTTTAAAAAAATGGCCATATTTAGGTATTCATTCCATTCCGGATTAGTCCGCGTAAAAAAAGTTCTTCAAATGAAAAAAATAAATAGCCAAAAATACTAATCAAAATGCAGCCGAAAATTTTCCTTAGGTTTATAAAAAGCGACATGCAAAATTTGGTACCAATTGGTTCAGTAGTTTTTGAGTTTATCGCGAAACAGACAGACAGACAGAAATTGACTTTTATATATAGAGATAAACAGATTTATGTATTATAAAATCACCATTTGTATTTTAGTACACTGTGTGACTTCACTGCTCTCTTTGATTTGAGAAATAAATAAATTATTCTGGAGGCTACTTAAAGTAATCTCATTATTCACTTATATAAACTTGTAGGATGGTTGAAACACGCTCTGGTAAGATGCAAGACCCAGCACAGGAGAGAATCAAGGTTGAAGAGTCTGTAAAGCCGCAACCTGGTGCAACAATATATATAGACAAATGCAGAGGAATGAATGTATGACAGCGCAAGTGTCCCTAGGGGGACATAGCACTTTAAATTGAAATAAATAGGTATAAGGTATATCTTACCTTTATCCCCCATGTAGAATTGGTGTTAACAAATCCAACACGTATCGTTTCAGCCGAAACATCGAAGATGAGCGGATGCATGGAAACAGATCAATAGTTTACCTATGAGATGGCGTGATTCTGAGTATTACACCATATTGCAACAAACACATATGGCAGGGGATGAATAAATTAATTGATTCTAGAAGATAAAACAAAAGTCGCGGAAACTTCTATCCACAACAAACACAAATTTTGTTTCGTTTTCTACAGCGAATAGAAAGATTATAATCGGAATATTTTCGTTGCCTTAATTAATTAATTCTTATATATATGTTATATTAAAATAATATTTTATTTAAAAAAAAAATTATATTTCATAGATTCAAATACTCTGTTAAATCGACCGCCAGAGGTCACAATTCCCCTATAAAAAATCATTGTTGTTGTTTCCCGATGGCCGGCTCAAACTTTTGTACATTATGTAAATAACCTTTTGTTTTCCTTGTTCTACTCGCCTTAAGCCAGGCATTACTTTTATAAAATTATGTTTTCTATATTCCATAAGCTCAATTAAAGCAATCTCTGATCAAGACTATTAATATTATTGTTACGACTGCAGAACAATATCGTAACATACTCATGGATAACAAAATCAAGCAACAGCTAATAATTCTATATATCATTATAATTCCAAAACAGCAGGAAAATCTTTTTATTTATAATATAACATAATCCTCAAGACAATTCCAAAATCAGCAAAAAATCTCATTTTTATATAACACTAGCCGAATGACCCGGGCAACGCCCGGGTTTTACCCGATTAAATGTTTTTATTCAAATACTATTCGTTACAATTATAAATTGGCGTCGTGGATGTCACTCTTGTGAAACGTCCCGCTCCAAACTTTGTGTCTGAGAAGCGATATTTTTATAGAAAGATGATCTGGCTTTTGTTTTCTGCTCGAATGAATGTTTTTCTGTTAGAATTTTGTTCCTGCGTACAAAATAATGAACTGGTTTCACCCGTGGTCTCTGCTTTTTGGAATTTTTCCCGATATAATTTTGTATCTGATAATCAAACATGATACAGCAATATCGTCATCATCATTTTCTGACTAAAAATATATAGTTTTAATAATTGATTTATATATTTTTTAAAATAGCCTATCGTCTTCCCCGTATTTTTTTACCTATGTATGGAAATTTTGGTTTGAATTAGTGAACTACTGCGAATTTGTATACCGGACATTCAGACAGACATACAAACATTCATTTTTATATATATAGAGATATATATATTAAAAATAATGAAGGCATATACTCACTAAAAGCACATGTGCTTTTTAGATGGCAGAGCGCCATCTAGTGGAACAGAAATCAACTAATCATTGATTTTAACTGTTCCCTTATATTTGGCCAACTCATTTTCTCGATAAATCAAGAAAAGCCATCCACGAAAAAATGCACATGTTCTTTTAGTCAGGATACGCCTTCATTATTTTTAATATCAACACCTAACTTTTTAATTTTTTTTCCTATTGTTTTCTCAATGGCAAGATAGAATTCTAGCCATTAATATAGGAAGACTAAAATTTAAATCCTAGACTGATACAGGATATTGGGGAATATCCCTAGATACATGGTGCCATACGTTCTGTAAGTCCCCTATCTGTGATATTCAGAGTGTCAGGAAGGAGATGTAGTGTCATGATAATACAATGAGCTAGGAAATATAGAATATCGGCCATCACTATAGGATGACCTATAATTAAAACCTATACTGATACAGGATATTGGGGAATATCCCTAGATACATGGTGCCATACGCTCTGCAAGTCCCCTATCTGTGATATTCAGAGTGTCAGGAAGAAGAGGCAGTATCATGGAAATACCATGAGCTAGGAAAGATAGAATTCTAGCAATTACTATAGGAAGACTACAAATTAAATCCTATACTGATACAGGATATTGGGGAATATCCCTAGATACATGGTGCCATACGTTCTGCAAGTCCCCTATCTGTGATATCCAGAGTGTCAGGAAGAAGAGGTAGTATCATGGAAATACCATGAGCTAGGCAAAATAGAATTCTAGCCATCACTATAGGAACACTACAAATTAAAACCTATACTGATATAGGGTATTGGGGAATATCCCCAGATACATGGTACCATACGCTCTGCAAGTCCCCTACCTTTAATATCCAGAGTATAAAGAATAAGAGATAGTGTCATGGAAATACCATGGGTTAGGTATGATAGAATTATAATGTTTATTGGTAGAAGAAGACACATTGGTACAGGATATGGAGTAACGTCTCAAGAGACATAGTACCATAAGCTCTTCAAGTCCCTACCTGCGAATCCAGAGTGTCAGGAAGAAGAGGCCGGGCCATAGAAATACCATGGGTTAGGTATGATAGAATTCTAGTGTATATTGGAAGAGGAAGACACATTGGTACAGGATATCGGGTAACATCTCAAGAGACATAGTACCATAAGCTCTTCAAGTCCCTACCTTTGATATCCAGAGTGTCAGGAAGAAGAGGCCGGGCCATGGGAATACCACGGGTGGGTAGAATTATGGCTTGGAAGACAATGAAGCGGTCAGCCCATTGTCCCTGTCAGCTGTCGGATTGTTTTGGAGAGAAATGGAGCAACAATTAGAAGTTGCGACAGGCCCGGCACCGCCCTTTAAACGGGACTTCGATGGAATCATTTTGGTGGTTTAAACTGTGAGTAACCCAGTTTAGAAACCGCAATAGAAGCTATTCTCATATCCAGTGGTCATTGAGAGCTTTGTCTATAAATATATTAACGTAGAAATCAAGTCTTGGAATTTCTTAAGATGTAAAAGTATATATTGATGACGTCACCGCGACTAGTCGACAAGTATCAACAAACCAACCCAACTATCTACAGCTAGAGAATATCGAGCAAGCAATCTAGGTAACATATATGATGATTTTACAAATATAAATTAATAATAAAAATCTGTTTCAAATATTTTTATTGAATAATTAAATTAAATAATAAAAAATATATATATATTAAAAATGGCATATCTTGACCAGGAGCACATGTGCTTTACAGAAGGCAGAACGCCATCTGGTGGAACAGAAATCAACTAAACATTGATTTAGCCTGTTCCCTGATATTTGGCCAACCCAATTTCTTGATAAATCAAGAAAAGCCATCCACGAACGCCTTTCACGCTTTTTTGACGCTCGTCAGCGTGGAGTAAACTGTACCACTGCGACCAAAATATTTTTTGATCCCAGAGGCTTCTTGAAAAACCAAGAAATGGGTATTTAAGATCAAACTTGCGTAAATACGCTTAACACAAGAAAAAAAAAACAATAGAAAAAAATAAAAAAGTCAGGTGTTGATATTAATTTGTTTTTATTAGACTTATTAATAAATAAGAATTCGTTTTTCCATATCCAAATAACTGGTTAGTTTCTTGGATAGTTTATTTTGGATAGAATCTGTATTTTCATACCATAAGTCGGAAATTTACAGCGTCCTCCGCACACTTTCTAATTATTCAAACAGGAATTACAAGAAATAATACCTTGTAATTACATCAATTAATTATTTAAGCCGACTAATTGACTTTCCCATTAGTTTTAATTACCACAGTTGCCAACCGGGAATCATGTGAATGGCTTTGAGAAAAATAAAAATTCAACAGAGTCTTGGGAATTTGGTCACTATGAGGTGAAGATGTCTTTTTTTTTTTTCAATTCCGACCATTTATAGGTTCGCGGTAATAGAATAGTTGTTCAAAATTGCGAATTTTTATTTAATCAGGTTTTAAAACTTCTTTTCTTCAATCAAAAATCTTTTGTCGAAACTTCAAGATAATAAAAAGATTTACTGGTCGAAGTATCTTTAATTTTAATAACTATGAATGCTGGCCAAGCAGCCTTTATCTTTACGATTCCTTTCTTCAAGTTGAACTTCAAGTTTCCCTTCTTCTTTCATGTTTTCAAACATGCCAATACAATGCTAAAACAGAGCAAGATAAATATATATTTTGAAAATAGAGCAATCCATAAATAAATCTTTAATTAAAAAGGCATATATTGAATCAAAATATCATTTATTTTACCAATATTTCAGTTGGCTGAACTCCAACCTTTATCAAGGTGACATATTTAATGTGTGTCAACAACAAACTCTGCGCCTTTTTAATTAAATAAATTTATATAGAATTGAAAATATATGGAATTCACTTTTTGAGATTGAGATGGGGGAAGTTAAAGATTAAGACAATTTGGTACGAAAAACATTTTTAACTTATCCGAGATACGCATGGAAGAGGTCCTTATAAGCTTGATAAATCGTTCTTTTATAATTATAAAGATACTTCAGCCAGTTAATCTTTTTATTATCTCGACGTTATGTAGGTGATTATAAAAACACTAGACGAATGGCCCGGGCAAC